CATAAAAGCCTGCTTCTTAATCATTATAATATTAATTAAATGAAAGCCCGTGAGTGTCAGAAATGCTCCGATGTCAAGGACAATAATAGCGGAAACCAGCACTGATACTGGCACTTCAACTGAAGTTTTAGGTCAAGGGCAGTATCCATGATGTGGTCAGGGACAGGATTACATTTTCAGCTGTTAGGTCTTTTTTTTTTAGCTGAATCTTATCTGAAGCGGGTTTTCTGTTTCCAACTCTGAACACAAAAAGGTAAAAACACACATTAATGTTTCATACAGTCGAACCTGCCCTAGCGGTCGCCTCTCTATCGGTCACCTGCGCTAACAACCACTGCTCTGTGACACTCTTACCTAATTTTTTCCTGTATGTACACCTAACCAAAGGGGACCGGTCCCTGTCCAAGACGGCCACGGTTAGTTATTTTCGCGACAATTTAGTCAGCCTCAAAACCTTCTCATGACGGTCATTTGCTATTAAAGTTTTCCACTTACTCAGACACTTACCAGCCCTCAGACTGAGTGTGTACATTCAATTATTGCAAAGATTAAGAGCCTCTTATGATTTTTGGAAAGAGACCCAAATAAGGCAATTAGATGGACACTTAATTTAAAGATTTCAGATTTTAAACCTTGATCATGTTGACTTTGTCAAGTTTAGTAAGTGACCATAACTTGGACCCTGATCTGGGGGCTCTCGTTGGCCTAGAGGTTAAGGCGTTGGCCTCTCATTCAAAGGTCCCGGGTTCGAATCCGGATAGAGACGGAAACATTTTCTTTTCTAAAATTGTCTCCTTTCACCTCCCTTCCTACCCTCTAGCAGTTTAATGTTTTGTCGTCGGCTTTTGTCTCCTCTTTCTGCCCCCACCTCTCAACTCCTTTGCCCCCTCCTCTGGGCTCCTGACTCTTTCTGCAGCCTTTCTACTGCTACTCCTTTTCTCCTTCTTACTGCTGTCTTTCAGCCGCACCCCTGATTTTCTGGTAGGATAGATCTACACCTTCTCGGACTAGGGGGAAAATCTCCAAGGGCACGTGTGCAAGTTGCGCATGTTAAAGATCCCTTGGTGGTCTAAAATCGATAAGAGTAGGGTTCGGCCGCCACCCGGGCAAAATTAAAAATTTACCACCAACTGGAAAAGTTTAATGTGTCCCACGCGCTCATATGACCTAATGCAGATGCTAACGCCGTAAAATACTTAGCAAAACAAAAGACCCTGATCATAGTGACCACCTGACGGTAACCAAAAATTTATTTCTATGTGTTTACATAAACGCTTCGCCCCCGGACTTTTTGTGTTCATGTTGTATTGAATCCCCCACAAGGGCAAAAACTGTAACGTGATCTGAGACCTAAAATGTTCAGTTCATTGCATACTATCTCGCAGAGAGCGGAGAGCCAAACTTTTAT